TCATACAGTTTTCTCTTATGCTACTTTTTTTTAATTTATAAATTTTAAGCTTTGTTATTCACATTTGGGTCGATGGCCCATTCTGAATTCCTGTTTATTCAATTTATAATATCTATAAATTCATTCTTAGCATGTAGTTTTCTAGTTGTTCCAGCACCATGTTAAAGTTCCAGCACCATGTTCGAGTGCCATGTTAAAATGACTGTCCACTCTCCATTGAGTTACTTTTGCTCTTTTGTCAAAGATTACAGTGATCTATTGTTTATTCTTTTGCCACTATCACACTGTCTTAATTACTGTAGCTTTACAGTAAGCCTTAAATCTGGACAATGTTAGCCCCCACTTTTGTTCTTCATCAGTACTGTGTGGACCATCTGGGTATGAAATAGTAATAAGTAATCTCTCCTGAAGTACATGTTTCTGTTTTCTTTGAAGACTCAGTTGAGTCATGTGATATTTTGTTAGAAGCTGTCTTGTGAGAAGGCACATGAAGATTTGCTGCAAGCTGTCTTGTTCAAGGGATGTGACTTTGACCAGCTGAAAATATCCATGAGTGGACTCTGAGGAAAAAAGATATATAGAAGCCCACGGACAGTGAGAGAATGCTCACTTTGCAGGGAGAGAAGTTCTAGAGAAGTCTCCAGGCAATCCACCGGAGTCTTGCAGCTTTCACTGACTCCTTCCGAATCAGTGGAGTCTTTCTGTTTCTGCTGAACTGTACTGATTTGTGTTGCTGTTTGGTGTTGACATTTGGACTGCTGGTATCCGGACAACAAAGAGTGGACTCACCCCAAGGAACTACTTCTGAAAGGTCTACAACCCCCTTTTCCTAATAACTTTTTCTTCCCTACTTCTGGTCAGTAGGTGGAAAGAAGGTAGAAGTGTTTAAGAACCCTAAATAAGAACCCTAACTAAAGCAGGTTTGTTGAAAAATCTAAGCCTACACTGTCTCTCACACAGGGCTCCTAAAACCCTTGTAAATAAAGGTGATAGAAAAATCTCTTGTTCCTATTAGTCTTTATGAATAAAGCTGCTATGAACATGATTGAGTAAATGTCCTTGTTGGGTACTTGAGCATATTTTGGATATATGTCTAGGAGTGGTATAGCTGGATCTTGAGGAAGCACTATTCCTAATTGTCTGAGAAAGTGCCAGATTGATTTCCAGAGTGGTTGTACAAGTTTACATTCCCACCAGCAATGGAGGAGGGCTCCCCTTTCTCCACAACATCTCCAGCACATGTTGTTACTTGGGTTTTTGATCTTAGCCATTCTGATGGGTGTAAGGTGAAATCTCGGGTCATTTTGATTTGCATTTCCCTGATGACTAAGGATGTTGAACATTTCTTTAAATGTTTCTCTGCCGTTTGATATTCCTCTATTGAGAATTCTCTGTTTAGCTCTGTACCCTATTTTGTAATTGGATTCTTGATTTGTTGCCATTTAACTTCTTGAGTTCTTCATATATTCTGGATATTAACACTCTGTCAGATATAGGGGTGGTGAAGATCCTTTCCTAGTCTGCACAGAACCCCCAAGACTTAGGAAATTAGTTTCCTGAGTTATTGAAGGATTTGACCCAGAATTCCCATATCTCTTAGAATTTCCTGTGTAAGGAGGACAGCTTTTGTTCTGAAACAACTGATAGACTCCTAGATCAGTGCTGGATACCAGAAAACCTCCATGGTTAGATGCATCCTAATCTTCCAGGAGGAGCAAGGAGATAAGCTAATAACCAATCATACCTTCCCCTAATCTCTTCCCCCAAATCTAATACATAGACTATGAAGAACTTCTAGTTTGGTGAACATCTCAACATGTGAGGACGGTGAGAAACCTAGCTCCACTGGGACAGAAACTCATATCCAGAGCCTTCCCAACCTCTCCCTATATACCTCTTCATTCATCCGTAGCCTTTAAAATACCCTTTATAATTAACAACCAAATATATTTCTGAGTGCAGAAACTATTCCAACAAATGACTGCACCAAAAGAGGGGGTGTTCAGACCTATGACTTATAGCCAGCTGGTGGTCATTAGTACAATCTGTCCGTAGGACTAGCATCTGAAGTGTTGGACTGTGAGACTGAGCCCTTAACATGTGAGGTCTGTCTAACTGGCACCTAGCTGCACTAGAGAATTATGAAAGACTCCCCCCTACTCATCCAGTAGTAGAAGTAAAATTTTGAATTTTGTTAGTGAGAATATAGAATAAAGGCTTTCTTGTTTTATTCTATATACTAGATCTTTGGTTTTTCCACATAAACTTTTCAATCACTTTATTGAACCTACAAAATAACTTGCTTGGATTTTGACTGGGATTGTGTGCAATCTACACATCAGAATAGGAAGAACCAACAGTTTAACAATATTGATTTTTCCTCTCAAAATGTGCAATCTCTTTCCATTTGTTTAATCTTTGCTTGCTTTGGTCAGAGTTTATAATCTACTTTACATGGGTCCTGTACATGTTTTAGATTTACTTATAAGTACCTCTTTTTTTAGAACTTTCAAAATTCAATTGTTACTGGAATTTAAGAAAATTTTATGCAGTTCAATTTCTTGTTATATAAATATAATCTTTCAATATTTTCAGAACCTTTATGCTATGCCTTCGGAGTAATTTTTTTTTCCATCTGCAAAGTTATTTCTTCCTCATATATATATGAGGAAGAATATATATATATATATATATTTTTTTTTTTCCTTTTCTTATCTTATTGCATTAGCTAGGATTTCTAGTACAATGTTAAATAGGAGAAGGAGGTGGAGGTATCTTTACCCTGTTTCTGTCTTAGGGAAGAAGTATCTAGTTTGTCATTAAAGATATTAGTTGCTTGGGACTTGGGATGGATTTTCCTTATTAAGGTGAGGAAACTTTCCTCTACTGGTTTGCTGCAAGTTGTTTTGTTTTGTTTTTTCAATATTATGGATAAAGTTTTTTTTTAATTTTTGTTAAATTCCTTTCTGCATCTACTGATTATTTTCTCTCCTTTAGACGATGAAGTGATAATAATAATTGATTTCAAATATTAAATCAGCATTGCACACCTGGAATAAATCCTACTTGGTTATTGTATAATTATTTTTATTCTTTACTAGATTTAATTTATTAATGTATTGCTAAAGATCTTTGCGTCTGCATTCAAAAAAGATAAATGGTGTGTAAAGTTGCCTTTTAAAAATATAAAGCTGAGAAATCTTGCAACAAGGAGTCAATTACATCTAAGTAGCAAATAGTTTGATCTAATTATTCTTCTGAAACCTAAAACTCTATCACCTCCATCAGACAACTGGATTACTGATTAGACAGAGAACACAGAACAATTAACAATGAAGAGAAGCATAAGTTAGTTGCAGCATTCCAAAAGCACAAAATGCTGTAGCATACAAAGAATCCCTTCAGTTTTTCAGTTATGAACCAAAAGAGGAGGAAGAGAAGAACAGACCCAGAAGAGAAAGGACAAGTTAACTGAGTGCATGAAGGAGATAGAAGTTACTTTAAGAGGCTGCGGCAGAGTGACAGCCTTGCCTGCACTTCTAACTGTGCTCTGAGCCCAGATTCCACAGCTTTCTTACATCAGCAGTCAGGATGTACACAAGGCTTTATGACAGTAAACCTTGCTCACCTAGAGCTACTCTACTCTAGGAAGCTAACTCTTTATACACTTACCCACTGTTTTTTTTTTTTTTTCTACATCAATAAAAATGTTTTAAAGACTGATTTATTTATTAGCTTTTTCACTCACCAGCTTCCAAACTGCCCATTTCTTCTTGTTGGCAGCTTGTTCCGTTCTCTAGCTGGCTGAGAACTGAACTTCTGCTGGAACAAATTCAAGCTAGCAGGGGGATGGGACAGGAAGGCAGAGGGATAACAGCCAGCATCCTGTGCCTCAAAGGGGCAGGAGCTTTACCTGTGAGGAACTGCTTAGAAGAGAATAGTGAAGGGGAACCCCATGCATCCCTTTTAAGAACCATGGTGCCAGGACCCATGATGTCATCAGCTTTCTGTTGGTTTTAGGTGGTTGAACTAGAGGATATGTAGAATGGTACCATGACCCTAGCATGGTGAACAGGTTTTTATAAAATAGTATCTTGAACTTAATGTTGGAAAGACAGAGAGACATAAACATACACAATGCAGATCTGATTTATAATGTGATAGTGTCAAGAATTCTTGGGAGAAGTGAATGGAAACAAAGGAAAGGACAACTGTGCAATTTCAAATATGCTGGGTTTTCAAGAAAGGAGATTTAAATAAAAAAAATAGGAAGAAAAAAGGTTAGATAGTCTGGTAGCTAAAAGCTCCAGAAGAAACTCCCCTGAAAAATGAATTATCTGAGGAAACCCAGTGACCTTCCCCCTAACTAGGTAGCCCGGGTTTTAAAAGGCCACTGATCAAAAGGAAAAGCAGCAGAGCTTACTAAGGAACACACAGAAGTAGTATCCACACAGACTATCTTCCTGCTCCCACCATTCTCTGCCCTCTTGTTCCTTCTAAGACCAGCTCACCCTCTCTCCTTACCTCTCCTGAATCACAGAACCTCTCCTCTTCCTGGCTGAAGAATTTAATTATTATTACTCCTACACACCTTTGTCTATCAAATTCAACTTTAAGCTGTACAAATTCAGGGTCCATGATACATAGCTTGATGTTCTCACAGTGCCTGTCAACAATGCCTCCAAAGGTTGGGTAACAAAGGATTTTTGTTTTTCGACAGGGTCTCATTACATAACTTGAGGTGTCCTGGAACTCACTATATGGTTTCAAATCTGTAACCCTCCTGCTTCAGCTTCTCAAGGGCCAAGATTACAGGCATGCCTACCAGGCATGGCTCTGAAATTGTGCTTTTAAAGGAAAGTAGAAAAGGGCAGGTATAAGAACACAGAGTTTGAACTTGCATTGTCAATTATACTACAGCCTAATCCAATCCAAAGCAATTATGTAACAAGTAGAATAAATAGACACAGTCACCTGAAACTGCAAAAAAAGCACAGTACCTGCAAGAGGCTTTCTATGGCATGAAAGCCTCGAATTAAATTCAGAGCTCCACATAAAAGACTAAGGATAAACGCCACAATCCCTGACAGAGTCGCTGGTTCCAGTCGCTGATGGGCTGGAAAGAAAAAGAAAGGGTCAGAAATGAATACCAGTGTCTCTTGCTAGTTGAGTGTATGTAGAAGAAATTTACTGCTCAACTTAGAAGAGTCACATGTAAATAGCTTTAAACAAGGTGTCTTAATAATTAAACATGCTACCCTCACCCCAGGCAGGGCTCTCTGTGTAGCAACTGTTTAGGAACTCACTCTGTAGATGGGGCTGGCCTCAACTTAGATATCTACCTGCCCCTGGCTTCACGTGTTGGGATTAAAAGTGTGTCCCACCAAACCAAGTTTAAATATTTTTCTAAAATGCAAAATATTTGGCAATATAAAAAGTCCCATTCTAAAGTCAGATGGAATCAACACTTCTACACTTTAATAGAAACCTCTAACTTCTATTTGAGGTTAAGAGGTGCTAGGAAGTACTCATATCTGTCCGTAAATCACTGAGGGGGAAAACACTGTTAAAGTATGCGTAAAATATATTGCAATTTGGTACAAGTATATGCAAAGGATGACCTTGCTTGGAGAATAAATGCAAAGCTCCTATGTTTTCTACAAATGTTTGGAAACCATTTTTAAGCATAACCATAGCTTGCTTTTAGGCAAAGCCCACTTACTTGGGACCAAAGGCCATAATCACTACTGGCTATATGTAAAAGCCCGTATTTAATCAGCAACCCAAGCTCTTCAATAAAATGAAGTCTTACAGCTGTGAAGACTGGTCCCTTGGTCTCTTAAAGAAAAATGATTAAAACAAAACCAAAAACACACCAGCTGATATGTGACCATTTCATCTTTACAAAAGCATTCCCTTAATTTTCAGGCTTCAACAGAGTAAAATATTCTGTTATACAATCACTTCCCTTCATGATCATTTTATGGTTATTAGGATTTACAATTGTGCCTAAATGAAAATACAAACTAAACACATAATCAGTAGACTTCAAAAGGGATACTGGCAAATAGAGGACAACAGAACCACATTTTTTATTACTTTATTTAAACTACTGAAGTGTAAAAGCCCAACAATGAAGTTAATGAGGCAGAATGTTAATAAAGGAAAAGCTCAGATCTTTGCAAATTATATTCAGCCATCACAGCAGAAAAGATTCCCCAAAGAGTTAATAAAAACCCCCTAAACCCACATCTCATGAAGCACTCTTCAGGTTCAGCAGAAACTCTAATCTAGAATAACATTTCATAATTTCTTCTATGCCCATGTCTGGTCTTTCAATAAATTCCCTTCAACTCTACTATGAAAATAGAAAGCCAAATGTTGCTGTATAGTACTGACACCATGGTCTTTCAGCATTGAAAAAAAGTCACAATTAGTCATCTCTCTGTCCTTGGTACACCCTCTCTCAGTAAAAGAGGAAACTGGCCTTTCATAAAAAGCAAATGGGCTTTAGGAATAAAACCAAATGACAACTGAATAATTATCAAATCACACACACAAAATCCAAACAGTGAAAATTCCAGCTTTCCATGGTCAAGTAAGGTATGTTCAAAGGAAAGATGCTACCATTTTCACGTGTTGATGGTAATGTATTTAAGAAGTGAACAAGCTGAGCTGGGCACAGTGCCTATAACCCTGGCCCTCGGGAGGAAGAGGCAGGCAGATCTCTGTGAGTTCAAGGCTAGCCTGAAGTAGAAATTTCTGGTTTCTTTGAAGACTTGAATTTTGTCATGTGATGTTTTGCCCAGGCTGGCTTGTGAGAGACTACGTAAAGTTTTGCTGTGACCCCTCACATGCAAGTGGCCAAGTCTGGCCAGCTGAGAACATCTATGGGTGGACTTTGAGGAGAGGACATATATAGAGGCCCATGCCCATGCACAAGAGACATCGCTTTTTGGATCTACATTGCTGCACTGATCTTTGTGCTTCCACACTTAGCTTTGTAGAGAGAAACATTCCAGAGAGCTTCTCCAGGCAATCCAAATGCGTCTTTCGGCTTATGCTGCTTCATGTTGGCCTTTGGACTGGACTGCTGGTATCCTGATGACTGAGTCTGGTAATCCCCTAATGACCCATTGACCCTTATTAGCAGGACTACAACCCTTTTCCCTACTAATCTCCTACCTAAGGTTTCAGGGGTTGGAAGGGAGGTAATGATTTTTAAGAACCCTAAATAAAGTAGATTTGGTGAAAAATATAAGCCTGCACCATCTTGGTCTACAAAGCAAGTACAGGACAGCCAGGGCTACACAGAGAAATTCTGTCTTGAAAAACAAAAAAGAAAGAAGGAAAAAAAAAAAAGAAATGAAAAATCAATATAAATTATTAAGTTTTGAACACTTGCCTTAGAACACGTGTTTTATAATAATAGTATACCATTTATGAATTTATAATGTTTAAAAAGAAGAAGCAAGTGCTAAGCCTCCTTTAATGATTTCCCTACTTTACCCCTCACCCCTTTTCTGGGACCTGTGGCTTTTTCTCTAATAAGAGATATCAAACAAACTTCATTCTGCAAACTCAAGAGGTTGGCACCACGGAACAGCACTTTCCCAGTTTGATAAGCAAACAAGATATTTAATGACATGGTAACGTATGGTGTGTGCTTTTTGTTACTTCAGTGAAACACGTTCTCGATATGCTGTAGTCCAAACAGAGCTTGTAGCATGCTTCAGTTTAGCACCATGCCAGGCACTGGTAGGCATCAAGTATACCTGAAGCCATAGCAAATGCAGGGCTATGCGGGAATAACATGGCTTCGGTTTGTTCTCTGAAGCCAGGAAGCAGCACCTGAACAGGTTTTTTATTTTGCTACTGTCAGAGAGAGAGACAGATATGGGAGAGTAAGATGTGTAGACAGTCAAAGATACCTAGCAGGGAGGGAAGGGAAAGCTCCCAGAAGGAATATGTGGCTCACAGTACACACAGATGGGCCGGGACATATCTGGACAGAAAAATTAAAACACTATCCAATCTATTGTCCAAGAGATATCTGTTGACACTATAAAGCAGTTTCAGGAGGGAAAGTGAAGGCAAAATTCAGACTGCAAGAAGTGAAGTAACTGTGATGTTGAGGCAAAAGCATGGGTGTATGTTTGTGCAGTTAAAGTAGATAGATGGAGGAGTAACACAAAACAAGATGGAGAGGGTCACGCCACTCCCACAATGTACAGGGGAAAAAAAAGACCTGAACATAAGTGTAGTGAGGTGGTTCAGGGAGGATGAAACAGAAAAGGGAAAGGAAAACCAGAACAGCTATCATTTGTCTGCAAAGATGGTAGACTAAACCATAGCACCTCTGTCCCATGTCAGACAGGGTACACAGGTATGGTCATTGAGGAAGGCCAACACATGGAGGAACAGGCTATTAAGATAAGGACTTTTCAGGCCATCTCCCTTTAAGCGAACATAACTTACTCCCTAAAGTACAACATATGACACTAACTGTATGACACACCTTCCTAATCAGAATCACAGTCTTTTTCTTCCTTTCCTCCCCTGCCATGTGATCTAAGCTGACCTCAAACTTATGATCCCCCTGACTCAGACTCCTAATTGCTAGCATTATAGGCATTTGCTATCTACAATTCCTGGTCGGCCTTGTAATTGTTTTTTATTAGATTCTTTTTTTTTTTAAATATAAATGGAATATTTTTTTAAATCAAAAGCAATACTAAGTAGATAGGGTAAGAAATTAAAAAATAAAAACACAAGTTTTCCCCTAGCCCTATTTATCCAAGGCAGTATAACCAAATGGATTCCTAAAGAAACCACGGTCACAGTCAATAGAGGCTCTGTCAACAGAGGCTCCATCAACAGCGTCTCTGGTCTGGACTCCTGTTTGGTCTTTGGCCACCTCACCTCTTTGGTGGACCACAAACAAAACACCAGTCGACAGTGATTGGCTGTTCCATCAAATCTTGACCATTGAGTCCCTTGGCAGCCTGAGCCTCTTTGTATGCTTCATACTCAACTAGCATGTACCCCCGCTTCAAGTATCCCAAATTAAGGTGGATATTTTTTTATTTTCCAATTTCAGCGAACCTGTCACGGATCTTCTTCAGTACCTTCTTCATGGACTCCAGTGACAAAGAGAATCCAACCTTCAACAATGCGTTGTGGTCCAGGTTCATTGCCATCCTACTCCACACTGTCATAATCCTCCATATCCTTGCTCGGGATCCCTCTTTAGAGCCAAGCTGAGGCCCTTCCATTTCTTCACTTTTTCTTTTAGTTTGTGGATGCTTTTTGTCCCTATCCTCATCCATGGCGAAATCCTCATCCCTAGCCTCGTGAATATTCAGCACATCCGCCATCTTGCTTCTCTTCGGTTAGATTATATTCTTATTCTCATCTTGAGAGTGCTTACTGTCTTTACAAAATGCCTCCATAATATTTAGCATAATAATTCGGAGAAAAGGCTTGGCCAAAAAAGAGTAATATTTTCTGGCAACTGGTAAATTGTCTACAAAATTTACCAAACAAAAATGTTAGAAACTGAGGAAATTTTATGTCTTTCTAAAAAGAAAAAGAAGAAGCAGAATATAAATTTTAAAAGACCAGAAACAGGAAATAATGGTAAGGGTATGGAGTAGTGGTCTGCTGTTAGCGTAAAGACCCTTTAGCTGCCTCTCTCCCAGAAAGCAGGCCAGGCCCCATGAAGCTCTTCATCTAGGACAGACAGTTGACAAGAAAGCAAGCTATGCTGTAGCCTTGCAGCCCTTTCCTTCCAGTTGTGAGGTAAGTTTATGGTCCACTTGCCACTTAGCCTGGGCCAACTAGATCATGTGGTATAAAGCTTACCTACTCTCCTGAAAGCCTCTAGGAGTCAGGAAACTTCTTAAGAGCAGAAGACTATTTCTCACTGGAGGACCCTGTCATCTTACACATAGCAGCAATCTCTCCTAAGGAAACTCCTCTCGGAATTTAAAGGGAAGTCAATGTCTCTTCTCATGCTCTCCCTCCCCCTTTAAGGACCCATTATGCTGTCTATGGCCCTGATGATATATTTTCCCTAATTACTATCCTACTTCAAGGCTGTGTCATAGCTATCCA